ACTCTTGTAGAAGGCAAAGCTACCTGGTTTTTCTACTGTTTCTGAAAGCTTCGGTAGTTTCAGAAGGCTTAATGGTTGGGTGGGGGTTGTGTATCCAGAGCTGAGGAGCAGCCAGGGTTCCTGGAGTCAAAGGAAAAATAAACACATCTTTTTGCATGCAGAGAAGATTAGCGGCTTCCTTTTGATATCATCTGCTTTCAATTTTCGGGTCTTAAAAAACCCCACAAGCTCTTAAAAAACCCCACAACGTGACCTGCAGAAGTACCAGCCACCAACTGCCAGGTTAGCATTTCACTGGCTGGAAAGGAGTGTCAGGATTCTGAGCAAATACCTTTTGAAATGTCATTTAATTTCTAGGGAGTCAGATTTGCATAAAGCTCTCAAGCTCTCAATGTTACCCAGTGACCTCAGGTGCCTTTTCCTCTCAACCCCAGATCAACCCCAGGTGTCACACGACAGAAAACTTTAAAATAGCCTTTGATTCCCAATCTGTCACCATGCTCCAGGAAACATGATATTCAATCCAGAAATGTATGCAATAATCCAAACCCATAAACACAGATGTGTGCTTTATTTTATCATCTAAAACCAAAAATCCAAACGTGCCATTAATACACACAGACAGCTGCTCAGATAGAAACCAAATCTATAACAGAATTTGTACTGCACTTTTCAAAAATACATATATGTTATGTTTCATCTTCATTGCAAACTCTGAAGTTAGCATTAGCTCTTGTAATTTGCAGAAAGTTGTTCTGAGAAATTGCCTGATCTGCCCAGGGGCACAGAGCTAATGAAAGATGGAGCCAGGACTTAAACACAGGTCTCTCTCAATCTCAGACTCTCAGTTCAAAGAGAACTGTGGCCTGCCTTTTAATTATTGAAGACAAGCAATATTAGAACATAAGTTTAATGTATTTCAAAATGACAAAAGTTAAACCTGTTGTATTAGTTAGCGTTAGAATAAAAACTTCAAGCCTAAGGATTTCTTCTTCATCAAAAAACTTTTTACATGGATTCTGAAGCAGGTTTGTTGTTCAGTTGCTCAGTTGTGTCCAACTGTTTGTGACCACATGGACTGCAGCATGCCAGGCTTCCCTGTCCTTCATTATCTTCCAGAGCTTGCTCAAACTCATGTTCATCAAGTCGGTGATGCCATCCAACTGTCTCATCCTCTGTCCCCTTCTCCTCTTGCCTTCAATCTTACCCAGTGTCAGGGTCTTTTGTAATGAGTCAGCTCTTTGCATCAGGTGACCAAAATATTGGAGCTTCAGCTTCAACTGAAGCAGGTCAAAACTTACTGAATACAAAATGATGCTGATTAATAACACACTTTGCTCAGATACACGTATTTGTGTTTTATACTTTCACAGTTCAGTCCATGGGCACACTTAGCATTTAGGGATCTTCATATAAAAGCACTGAGAAAAGCAAAATAGCTCCCAGCAATGAATAAATGCAGCAAAAGTTAAACATGACTTTGTTCCAAGTTATGTATTTTGTTCCTGAGATTTTATGCTTAATTACTACCATTCATGACAATGTTCTTTTGATATTATGACAGATTAGAACATTTGTTTGATGGAAACCAACTCATCACCATTATCATTATCAAAAAGAGAGCTAAATAAGTAAAACTCATTGATGAAAAAAAGATGGGACAAGAATTAAGTTTTCAAATGAATGGGGGTGGAAGGAGATCTAGCCATGCTCCACAGACAAAAATATATTTTGATTTGTGAAAAGAGTTCTTGCTGCCATGGCTCTCTGGCTTTTTTGGGATCTTCTCCCCTACCATGATGAATTTGTTGATAAAAATAGATGGAGAAATATACCATGTTCATGGATTGGACGAACCAATACAGTGAAAGTGAGTATAATACCCAAAGCAATCTGTAGACTCAGTGCAATACCTATCAAGTTACCAACAGTATTTTTCACAGAACTAGAACAAATAATTTCACAATTTGTGTGGAAATACAAAAACACCTCAAAGAGCCAAAGCAATCTTAAGAAAAATGGAACCGGAGGAATCAACCTGCCTGACTTCAGACTATACTACAAAGCTACAGTCATCAAGACAGTACGGTACCAGCACAAAGAAAGAAATATAGATCAATGGAACAAAATAGAAAGTCCAGAGATAAGTCCACGCACCTATGAACACCTTATCTTTGACAAAGGAGGCAAAAATATACAATGGAGAAAAGACAATCTCTTTAACAAGTGGTGCTGGGAAAACTGGTCAACTACCTGTAAAAGAATGAAACTAGAATGCTTTCCAAAACCATACACAAAAATAAACTCAAAATGGATTAAAGATCTAAATGTGAGACCAGAAACTATAAAACTCCTAGAGGAAAACATAGTCAAAACACTCTCTGACTTTAATCACAGCAGGATCCTCTATGACCCACCTCCCAGAGTAATGGAAATAAAGAAAAATAAACAAATGGGAGCTAATTAAACTGAAAAGCTTTTGCACAACAAAGGAAACCATAAGCAAGGTGAAAAGACAGCCTTCAGGGTGGGAGAAAATAATAGCAAATGAAGCAACTGACAAAGAATTAAAATAAAAAATATACAAGCAGCTCATGCAGCTCAATATCATAAAAACAAATGATGCAATCAAAAAATGGGCCAAAGAACTAAACAGACATTTCTCCAAAGAAGACATACTGATGGCTAAAAAACACATGAAAAGATGCTCAACATCACTCATTATCAGAGAAATGCAAATCAAAACCACATTGAAGTACCATCTCATGCCAGTCAGAATGGCTGTTATCAAAAAGTCTACAAACAATAAATGTTGGAGAGGGTGTAGAGAAAAGGGAACCCTCTTATACTGTTGGTGGGAATGCAAACTAGTATAGCCACTATGGAGGACAGTGTGGAGATTCCTTAAAAACTGGAAATAGAACTGCCATACGACCCAGCAATCCCACTGCTTGGCATACACAGTGAAGAAACCAGAACTGAAAGAGACTTGTGTACCCCAATGTTTATCACAGCACTGTTTACAATAGCCAGGACATGGAAGCAACCTAGATGTCCATCAGCAAATAGATAAGAAAGTTGTGGTACATATACACACACAATGGAATATTACTCAGCTATTAAAAAGAATACATTTGAATCCGTTCTAATGAGGTGGATGAAATTGGAGCCTATTATATAGAGTGAAGTAAGTCAGAAAGAACAACACCAATACAATGTATTAATGTATATATATGGTAACTATGGTTACCCTAGAAACCATCAGGGTAAAATGGTAGAATGGTAATGATGACCCTATAGGCAAGACAGGAAAAGAGACACAGATATAAAGAACAGACTTTTGGACTCTGTGGGAAAAGGCAAGAGTGGAATGATTTGAGATAATAACATTGAAACATGTATATGACCATATGTGAAATGGATCACCAGTCCAAGTTCAATGCATGAAACAGGGCACTCAAAGCTGGTGCACTGGGACGACCCAGAGGGATGGGATGGGGAGGGAGGTGAGAGGGGGGTTCGGGATGGGGAACACATGTACACCTGTGGCTGATTCATGTCAATGTGTGGCAAAAATCACCACAATATTGTAAAGTAATTAGCTTCCAATTAAAATAAATGAATTAAAAAAAATTAATCTCTCTTATCTAACTCCTGATACAAGTGCATTATGAAGTATGCAGAATTACTTGGGAAATATTGCCAAAAATGTTTAACCTGAACCTATTCAAGCTTTTAGATCTCACTTCCAGTTTAGAGGAAATACAGGGGATAAAGGATCAAGTGGAACACTAAGAGGAAATAATGAGACAAATCCAGAATGGGGGATATCCCAAAAGTTAATGTCATGGGGAAAGTTAAGGGACTGTTCTAGATGAAAAGATACAACAAACAAAGGTAATGTATGAAATTTGATTGGATCTCAATTCAAAGAAACCCAGCTATAAAATATATACTTGGTGAATAATTGAAGATATTTGAATATGGTGTATATAATAGGAATTTTTTGTTAATTTTCTTAGTAGCAACAACCTTGTGATAAGTAGAATGACCTTTATCTGCTTCTCTTTCAACATCATCTTTCCACATGATTAGCTTGGGCTTCTTCACAGCATGGTGGACTCTGGGTAGTTGAACCTCTTTATGTGGCATCTGACTTCCAAGGGTAAGTGGAGGCTGCCAGGCTTTTTAAAGTTAAGCCCAAAGCTGGCATTGTTATACTTTTGTTACATTCTGATGATCAAAGCAAGTTGCAAGACCAGGTCAGATAGAAATGGGGGAGGGGTAGACTCCACTTCCTGATGGATGGAAAAGTCATGCTTGCAAAGAGGGAAGGGAGTGATGACAGCCATCTTTGGAGACTACCTATACCCTTCCGTCCAAAAAATGGATTAAATATATCCATTGAATGAAAGTCACACTCTCCACAGTACAAATCTAGATGTTGAATAGATGCTTCTATTATAAATAAGAAAAATGTTGAGCGCTCAAATCAAATCCAGTGAAGCATTTTGTTTACAAAGCATTTCATTTCCCCTCACCTTTTATGCATGGAATGCACAATTCAAGAAGCAAAGATAGAAATGTGCACACACAATCAAAGATGAAGACATTACTCCCTAGAAAACACTTTTAGACCTAACTCCATTTTCTGATTTTCCTTCTGCCTTTGAGCAGTATCAGACAAGCTCATTGTTCTAGTCATATCTGACTCTTTGCTATCATTGACTGTGGCCCATCAGGCTCCTCTGTCCTTGGAATATTCCTGGTAAGAATACTGGAGTGGGTTGCCGTTTCTTTCTCCAGTGAATCTTCCTGACCACATCTCTTGAGTCTCCTGCATTGGCATGTGGATTCTTCACCAGCTATGCCACCTGGGAAGTCCTAGAAGTACCTAAAGAGTGAATCCAAGGGCTGAAACTGCTACTGATTTCTGTCTTCCTACCGCCTGTTGGGAGAATCTGGCACACGTGAATACCCATAAATGTTTGTTGAAATCCATGTGTGACATATCTATCATACACACTGTTGTCCATGCAGGAATTGGAATTTTAGCCAATGAGAAAGAGTTAAAGCAAATTCATGTATCTTCCATGTTTGAGAAACGAGCTGGTCTGGTTCACAACTGTGTAGAACAGAACCTGGAGGCCAGCAGTAAGCAAGACATTTATTTCAGTTGTCAAAATACTTGTTACAAATCCAAAGGTCAGAAAAGTCCCACACGTTATGAAGACAAAAGTTTCTCTCCCTTTTTTTTTTTAAGAGGAAAGTTTCTCAATCTTCACTTCAGAAAATGTTTACAGATGGGTGTTCCTATTATTTCAGTCATCCACTGAGGATTATGACTAAGCAGGTGGCTGGAACTGCAGCAGTGGCCAAGGGAGAGACTGAACCTGGCCACCTTCAGAGAGACTAACGCACATGGAGATGCCTAATAATTTTTGGTTGGGATAGTGCTATCAGCTGAATTGTGTCCCTGCATCAAATTCATATGCGGAAGCTCTAGCCTCCATGTGACTAGATTTGGAGGTACAACTTTTCAAGAGGTAATTAAGATTAAATGAGCTGGGTAGGATGGATTGGGAGATTGGGATTGACACAAATGCTATTGACACGATGTATAAGATAGACAATGAGAACCTACATTAAAGCACAAGGAACTATTCTCAGTGCTCTCCATGGCCTAAATGTGAAGGAAACCCCCAAAACGGGGTGTGTATACACGTGCAGTTGGCTCACTTTGCGGTTCAGTAGAAACACACACAACATTGTAAAGTAACTCTACTCCAATAAAAAGTAATTAAAAAAATTAAAAAACAGAACAAAAATTCAAATAGGATAGGCCCTAATTCAATCGAACTGGTGTTCTCATAAAAAGAAGAAAGAGACAAGAGGGACATAAGTGCAAGAAGAAAAGGCCATGTGAGGCTACAGTGGCAAGGCAGAGATGTGTAAGGCAGGAGAAAGGCCTCACCAGGAATCAAGCTGGCTGGCACCTTGATCTTGGGATCCCAGCCCTTCCGAACTGTAAGAACATTTATTTCCATTGTTTAAGCCACTCTCTGGTATTTTTTTTTCATGTCAGCGAGCCCTAGAAAATTAAGAAATGTGGCATACAAAGCATTCACATAAATGTGTTCCCAAATGCAAACTTACTTTAAAAAATGAAATAATTGAAACGTATGGAAAACAGAGAATATTTAAAAGGTCACCTAAAATCTGCCGCCCAGATTTTAACAGATGTGGACATCTCATCATACTTGTTTCAGATTTTAAAATTTTTTTTTAAAATTTTCATATGAAAATCTGTTTATTGATCTTACTTTGCAATTTGACAAGAAAAAAGTTGAGATAATGTTACAAAACAATTAGGCCTTTGTGTTAGAACTCTGTACAAACATTCCAGCCAGAGGCAACTCCTTTGCAAACAGAGCAAACAACAGATTGTTTTTAAAGAAATAAAATGTTCATATTTAAAATTGGTACCCTTTAGATCTGCTTCCATATCCTCCTAACCCTGAGGTAACATCTCTTTGGAAATGGGAGGCTAATTTGTATGTTTCCTGTCGACTTTTTAGTATATTATACTTAGCAGCTGCTGCTGCTGCTAAGTCGCTTCAGTCGTGTCCGATTCTGTGCGACCCCATAGACAGCAGCCCACCAGGCTCCTCTGTCCCTGGCATTCTCCAGGCAAGAACACTGGAGTGGGTTGCCATTTCCTTCTCCAATGCGTGAAAGTGAAAAGTGAAAGTGAAGTCGCTCAGTCGTGTAGAACTCTTCGCAATCCCATGGACTGGAGCCCACCAGGCTCCTCTGTCCATGGGATTTTCCAGGCAAGAGTACTGGAGTGGACTGCCATTTCCTTCTCCACATATTATACTTAGATGTATGCGTATATCAAAAAGCAATGATAAGTACCATTGAACTGCTTTATATTTACATAAATGTGTAAATAATTTTGCAACTTAACATTTTTTTCCTTCAACATTGTTTTGAGGTATATGTGTACATTTTGATATATGTGGCTATCGTTTAATTATTTTTAGTCCTCTGTGGTCTTCTATCATATGGGTATACCACAATTTACTTATCCATTTTCCTACTAATATTCAGGTTATTCTCAATTTTTCAGTATTATAAACACTACAGCATTGACCAATCTTGTATATGTCTCCTTGAACGCATATACTACCAGCAAACTTGCATCTTCAATTTTACAAGAGATTGATCTCGAAAATGATTGTACCAAACTCCAGGCTTTTACTTCTCCCAAATCTGATAGGTTTACAGTAGTAATTCACCGTTTATTGTTTCACGAAGAATACTTAACATACAATAAGCTGTGCAACTTGATGATCTTTGACAAATGTACTCACCTATGAAATCAGGACCACACTTGAGACATAAAGTACTTCCATCATCCCTTGAATTTCCTCAGGCCCCCATGCAAACCATCCACCCCACCCCACCCCATATGCCACCCCTAGGATCCATCTCAGTCCCCAAGTAATCACTGGACTGTTTTCTTTAGCAATGAACTAGTTTTCATTTTAGAAAACTTTATATAAATGGAACTAGATGGTATGTCCTCTTTGTGCCTGGCAGATTATTCTGGTTTGTTGTTGTTCAGTTGCTCAGTCATATCAAATTCTTTGCAACCTCATGGACTGCAGCACACCAGGCTTCCCTGTTCATCACCATCTCCCAGAGCTTGCTCAAACTCATGTCCATCGAGTTGGTGATGCCATCCAACCGTCTCATCCTGTCGTTCCCTTCTCCTACCTTCAATCTTTCCTAGCTTCAGGGTCTTTTCTAATGAGTTGGCTCTTTGCATCGGGTGGCCAAAGTATTGGAGTTTCAGCTTCAGCATTGGTCCTTCCAATGAATATTCAGGACTGATTTCCTTTAGGATGGACTGGTTGAATCTCCTTGCAGTCCAAGGGACTCTCAAGAGTCTTCTCCAACACCATAGTTCAAAAGCATCAATTCTTCAGCACTCAGCTTTCTTTATGGTCCAACTCATATTCATACAGAACTACTGGAAAAACCACAGCTTTGACTAGATGGACCTTTGTTGGCAAAGTAATGTCTCTGCTTTTTAATATGAAATATAGGTTGATCATAGCTTTTTTCCCAAAGAGCAAGCATCTTTTAATTTCATGTCTGCAATCACCATCTACAGTGATTTTTGGAGCCCAAGAAAATAGAGTCTCTCACTGTTTCCCTTGTTTCCCCATCTATTTGCCATGAAGTGATGGGACCAGATGCCATGATCTTTGTTGTTTTCTATGTTGAGTTTTAAGCCAGCTTTTTCCCTCTCCACTCTCAAATTCATCAAGAGGCTCTTTAGTGCATCTTCGCTTTCTGTCATGAGAGTGGTGTCATCTGTATATCTAAGGTTATTGATATTATACCTGGCAATCTTGATTCCAGCTTGTGCTTCATCCAGCCCAGCATTTCGCATGATGTACTCTGCATATAAATTAAATAAGCACGGTGACGATATACAGCCTTGGCGTACTTTCTCATTTAGAATGAGTCCATTGTTCCATATCCAGTTCTAACAGTTACTTCTTGACCCGCATACACATTTCTCAAAAGGCAGGTAAGGTGGTCTGGTATTTCCATCTCTTTAAGAATTTCCTACAGTTTGTTGTGATCCACATAGTCAAACGCTTTAGCATAGTCAACAAAGCAGAGAAGTAGATTTTTTCTGGAATTCTCTTGCTTTTTCTATGATCCAGCAGATGTTGACAATTTGGTCTCTGGTTCCTCTGGCTTTTCTAAATCCAGCTTGAAGATCTGGAAGTTCTTGTTTCACGTACTGTTAAAGCCTAGTTTGGAGAATTTTGAGCATTACTTTGCTAGCATGTGAAATGAGTGCAACAGTACAGTAATTCTTTTAGTTAGCATAATGATTTTGAAGTTCATCCATGTTGCTGGGCTTATCAGTTTATCTTTTCCTTTTTATTTTATAAATGCATTTTTTGCTTATCCATTCACCTGTTGGTGAATTTAGGTTCTACCTAGCCGTTTGCTTTCATTTCTCCTGGGTCAGTAAAAGAATGACTGGGTGGTATGATAGGTGAAAGTTTAACTTTATTCATTGTGGGTTTTATTTGTATTTCCTTGGTGATAATGTCAAGCTTCTTTTCATGTACTTACTGGCCATTCATTTGTCTTATTTTGTGAAGTGTCTATGTAAAATCTTTTGTTCATCTCTTAAATGAGTTATCTTCTTATTCTTGAGTTGTGCAATCTCTTTATATACTTTGGAATTCTTTATCAGATATATTTGTCAAATATTTTCTCTCTGTGACTAGAAATTTTAATTTCTGAAGTATCTTTTGAAGAGCAGGATGTTTTAGTTTTGATCAAGACCAATTTATCAATTTATTCTCTAATGGTCTGAGCCATTTGTGCTCTAAGAAATCTTTATGAAAACAAAGTCAGTAAGATTTTCTCCTGTTTTCTTCTGTAAATTTTAGCTCTCATACTTTGGTCTCTGTATGAGGTTAAGGTGAAAGTTCTGTGAGTGTGTGTGTGTGTGTTTATGTGTCTAGTTATTGCAGCACCATTTTTTGAAAAGACTACACTTTTCATTGAAATGCCTTGGCATCTTTGTTGAAAATTAGTTTACTATGTGTAACTAATATTTACACATTTTTTTCTGGATTCCCTATTCAGTTTCATTGATCCATATGCCTGCTAAGTTGATTCAGTCATGTCCAACTCTTTGCAACTCCATGGACTGTAGCCCGCCAGGCTCCTCTGTCCATGGGATTCTCCAGGCAAGAATACTGGAGTGAGTTGCCATGCCCTCTTCCAGGGGATCTTCCTGACCCAGGGGTCAGAGCCTGTCTCTCTTTAAGTTTCCTGCATTGGCAGGTGGGTTCTTTACATCTAGCACCACCTGAGAAGACCTTCATGTCTATCTTTATCCTAATTATCACTGTCTTGATTGCTGTAGCTTTGTAAGTTCTGAGACCAAGTAGCCTATAAGTCCTCCACCTTATACTCTGGTCTCATAGTTTGGCCAAAACATTTCCATGTACCTTTTAGAATTAGCTTGTCAAATTAAAAAAAAATCCTGATGGCATTTTGACTGTGTATAGACAAACTTGGGAGCATCCATATCTTAATATATTATTTATACATAATCATGGCATTGCTATTTATTTAAATCTTTCTCAAAAAAAATTTTTTTTTAATAGCTGGTATAGAGTGCTTGCTTATATGTCTTTGGTTGAACTTATCCCTAGGAACCTCGTATGCTTTGCTGCTACTGGTATCTTTGAATATTTTCTAACTGATGCTGCTGGGATATAAACCTTGCAAAATTCACTTATCAACTCTAATATAGTTTTTGGTAGATTCTTTTAAAATTTCTATGTGCATAATTATGACATCTGTAAATAATGACAATTTTCTTTCCAGTCCTGATTCCTTTTAATTCTTCCCTGCCTTTACTGCACTGGTTAAGCTCTCCAGTACAATACTGAATACAAATTGTGAAAGCAGACATCCTTGTCACATTATTGATCTCAGAGAGAAAGTACCTGAGTCAGAATTCTGGCCCCCAAAGATGCCCACATTCTAGCATCAGAATTTGTGAATATATTACATGGCCAAGGGGAATTAAAAGTTGAAGATGGAATAGAGATTACATGTAAGCAAGCCTTAAAATAGGGAGATTAGATTACCTGGGTGGGCCCAATGTAATAACCAGGGTCCTTAAAAGTGCAAGAAGGAATCAGAAGGGTCAGTGTCAGAATGATGTGATGACAAAAGCATTCAACCCACTGTTGTTGGCTTTGGAGATGGAGGAAGAGGGCTACAAGCCAAGGAATGTCTGGGGTTCATAGATACAAGAAAGGACAAGGAAACAGATTCCTTTCTAGAACCCCCAGAAAGAAACAGCCCTTTGACGCTTATGTCAGCGTTCTCATCTGCACAGCTGTCACATATGGAAGAGATTGTGTTGTTTGAAGACACTAATGTTTGTGACTATTTATTACAGCAGTGACAGAAAACAAATAGAGGAAACTTCAGATTTTCCATCACTAAGTATGATGTTTGCTGCAGTTTCTATGTATATGTTGTCTGTTTGCTCTTGGGTTCCTTCTAGTGTATTTCTTACATAGTTTCAACTCTAATATTTCTTCTGAGCTCTGTCAGCAGCCATTTTATTTCCTATTGCTTACCCATCCAATTCTTCTTTTTTTTTTAATGTAGATAATCAACCTCTTTTTTTCCCCATCTAATTTCTGAGCTTTTCTGATGCTGATGCTATATTGTTCTTTCTTGGCTATCATTTCTTGAATTCCTTCAGCATTTTAACAAATATTACTGTTTTCCTCTGCTTTGTAAATGTTTCTAGGATATCTTCATTTTCTGTAGGTTATCCTGTCTTCTTAAAGCATGCCTTACCATGTGGTCATGTTTAAAATGAGATGAACTTTGTCATACTTTGCTCCTTTATTTTCAGATTTCAGGGTAGATGGTGAGGTGGGCCTGGAATTTCTTGGTTTTGTGGTTCTAGGCTTCCCTCTTCTGCAGTTACTACAAATCATTTGATAACATTTTTTAAAAATAATTTTTATTTTTAAATTATTATTTTTATTTTTTATTTTTACCTTTTTGACAGTGCTTCACAGCTTGTGGGATCTTAGTTCCCCACCTAGGGATTGAGCCAAGTCCCTGGGAATGAAAGCACCGAGTCCTAACCATTGGTCCAGGGAATTTCCAGATGATGTGGGGTTTTCTGGCTGTTTTTTACTGTGGTGAAAGCCACATAATATAAAACATACTATTTTAACCATATTTAACTGTACAGTTCAGTGGCACTAGGTATATTCCCAGATGACATGGCTTTTTATGTACCTTCTTAGTACTTTCTGAATTGTCTTATCTGGTCCCCTGTTCCAAATGCATCAGAACCTTTCTGTCCTTTATCCCCAGGGTCCCTTCCTTGTTGATGTCTGTTTTGCACCTAGGAGTTTCAGCGTAGGCCTCGGGGCTCTCCCCAGATACTTCTGGGGACCCCGCAGGCCAGGCTGCCCTCATCCCCTCATACCTCCCTGCAGGCTCCAGTTGAATGCTGACAGCCCTCTTCCAATTCTGATTGTGGTTTTGAATGCAACAGTTGATGCTGCCATGACAACTGGGGCTCCTCCTTCTGGGGCTGAGGACATGTGGGCAGGTTCTGGGATCTTTGGCTCTTAGGACCATCCCAAGACCCCCTCAAGACCCCCTCCCTTTCTCTCTGCTCTCTCCTCCAATGCTGTTGTTCCCATGTGATCCTATTAGTTTCCTGGGTCCAGAGGGATATTCTTCCACCTAATTTTAGTGAAGATGGTGTCACTGTGACTTTTCTTTTGCTATCCCAGTTGCTCTATGAGGATCTGACATTAAATAACTACTCACTGTGGCTGCCATCTAGCCTTCTGTAATTGGTTTTTAATTTTAAAATGTTTTATATTTTTCTATTTATACTGTAACACCTGGGATAGGACAGACTATGGTACATTTTAACAAATAAATGCAAAATCTTAGTGACTAAATACAAGCCCTTATTTCTTGCACACGTCACAGTGCAGTGCAGTTGGCATGCTCTACTGGTAGGTTTCCAAGCAGTGCTTCACATGCCCTGGGTACTTCCACTTTGCAAATTCTCTGTTTATAGCCAAACAAGAAGACAGGAGAGTGGCCAACGGTGATCACTGGTTGTGATGCAGTGAGTTTTATTGCCAGATCTGGAGGTCACATGACATCCTTGGCCGGACTCAGTCACGTGACTCCAAACCAACCACAAGAAAGGACTGGAAACAAAGCCACACTGAGAATCTCTTCCTCAACTCTGTACAGCTGCCCAAGCAACTCTGGGAAAGAACGTGGACTATGAAACAGTACCCATCTCTTTGTATATCTGTAAAACGATTTAAAATGTAATCTAATCAAAGAACTGGTCACCACTGTTTTTAATAAGGTTTTAATTCCATTAGTACAAAACTTAAAAAAAATTTATGCATCAAGTCGTTTTCAAGATTACAAAAAAACATGTCTCCATGTTTGCTGACAAATTTGGAGAATAAGGCAGCTTATATTTAAATAAAAATTAAAATGCCTCTAATTATAAAGATTCCAGTTAAATGTCTTTTGGAATGATAATGTATTAAGTTGTACTAACATATAAAGTAAGAAAATGGTGGTTTGGCATCATTCATAAACATAAACATATTAACAAACATTCTAAATATTCAATACACATACTTCAGGAGAAATCTAGAAATGAATCCTTTTTATTACCTTTAGTCTACATGTTTAACAATACAAATACACTCACTGAAAAAATTAACGATATTTAAATAAAAACAAAGTTCATGAAAATTTACAAAGTACAACCAATGTATTCTGACTTGTAATCATATCTTAAATATTTCAGCTTTATCTTTCTGACCTGGTCAGATCATTTAAAAATATTTTCACACTACTTAATTTTAGGATATAAAACAGTAGCAACTTACTAAGTTTATGTTATAAAAATTAATATAGCAATTATCAAAATACTGAAAAAACTGTCTTATGAGAGCAGTATCCAGATCATAAAAACTTATGTCATTAAGAAAACATCTTCAAAAGGCACATTTTAATTACTGGTGTTTATGTAAAGATAGTAGCTTGAGCTTTGAATTTCCAGTCAGTTTTTCATTATCTCAGTATGAAGATCATGGAGGGCTGGAGAAGGTAAGAGCACACAGCTTTCCAGTGGACTTCACCGGGACAGCAGCATCCTTACTCATCACATCCACAAAGACCAAAAGAAAGATGTAGAGGAAGGGAGGATTTCTGGTCTAATTCAACCTTCAGGAAATACTTTTTACATAAAAATAACTTAGTTTAAAAGATTACAGGACAGAAAGCTTGAAAAACACAAGGCCAAGACCACAAACTGCCCAGTTTAATTTGAGTGGTGATGTTACTTGTTTGGAGCCTAAGAAGAGAAAAGAGGCTTCTGCTTGCTTCTCTGGGATCAAATCTTCATATGGAGCTCATCTCAATTTAAATTACTCAATGAGTTAAAAGTACTACAAATTCCCAGCATGTCAGACATACTGGTGTTTAAAATAAAATAATGATTTTATGGTTATCTCTGTCATGTTCCCCTTTAACTGGGGCTGATATTCTAAAGTTGACTGTAATTATAACATCAGTAATTTCAAGTACTCTACAAAACTACTATTATTTTTAAGAGGTTATGTCCTAGGACCTCAAAATGCCATCCAATATACAGTTTGAGTTATGTTTTACTTTTCAGTGAAGTTTAATACTAATTGAAGTACTAAATTGAACCAGAGCAGTGCTCGGAAGTACTAACTGATTAAGTACTGATCCCATGCAAGAAACAGAAGGGATTTTTTAATGCTATTTTGGAATTTTAGAATACTGGGGATCTACATTTCATATTATTTCCCTCAAGTCTCAATTGAGTGTTTCCACTTTTTTTAAAATGTGGGAGACATCATTAGATTTTTTTTCCTCACTGTAAACAAAATAATTGACAAAAATATTCTGAAGTATGAAAAAGAAAATGGTTATCAGTTACTTAAACAAAATATAATTTTCTGGTCCCTAATAATGGTCATGTTAGGAGTATTTATTCAAGTTCTAAAATAGCAGCTTTTTAAATTAAGGCAACATTGCTTTATTCTTACCTATTTTTTATTAACTACTCTATTATAGCTCATAAGAGCACTTTTACCCTCAAAAGCCTTTTATAATGTAAGAAGAATTAACATGACCATTCTTGTCAATGTTTAGAAAGTATATAAAAAGTTACTGTATTCAAAGTCAACAAACACCTTATTTTTCTGTTTGGAATTCAAGAGTAATGACAGTCATTTCAGAATGTGTAAACTATGAAATTACCTTAAACTAACATCAACAACATAAAATAAAATTTTTCTACAAAAATACGATATAAGAGATATATCACTTCTTCCCTGAAATAGAAATTTAACATTTGGACAAAAAAACTGTAAACTCTGATTACATTCAAAAGACAACCTTTCAGAAACTTATTATTATTTGAGGCTCTGGCAGCTGGCACTCTTACCAGCAGATTTACGTGACAGTAAGCTTTAACCACACAAGGCCACACAGTTGTTTCTCTCACAGCCGCTACCAGGAGGAAAAGAATGGCTTCCTGCAGTGGACAGTCTGGGTGAATGAATTGCTGAGGTGGACGACCCGGCCCTGCCCTCCGCCCTGACTGCGCTCCACGACCACACAAGGCATCTGCACCAGCTGGACAGGACTCTTCCTGTCTCTCAGTGCCTGAGTGAGGTTTAAGATCTGTGGGGGAAGAGAGGTTCTCATCAGCTCAACAAAGGCAAAGGCCTCAGCTCACTGATATTATTTTAACTATCTACTCATAACTACAGCTTTTATTTTATCCATTTGTGCCCAACAGAGACAGTGATGCGGAGTACCCGCTATCAGTACAAATATGTGGAGGTATGTATGCTTGTACATACACATCTGTATACACAAACAAAAGCACAAGATTAGAATTAAATAATTCTTGCCAATTGACAACTCTGAAATATTCTAGAATGCATCTACATCCAGAAGAATTGAATTAGAGATGGAATAAAGTGAATGGTTCCACATACATACTCCACTGACACTGGTCCTAAATAGATACTGGTCTAAATAGTCTCTTTTTTACTAAATGCTTGCCTTATTCACTCACTCAACAAATAAATTTATTGCGTGTTCACTGGAATTATTAATAGGACCTAGTATGAAGGCATTTCTTTTAAAATGTGACTAATAATGTTTATTAAGTTAAAACTTTTGAATTTTACATTAAATAGCAGTAGGGTCATGATCAATCTCAAGAAGAGCATTCATTTCCTATTCTACCTGTGCCTATTTGGAACACTGGACCTCAGAAATACTAATTTACTTGAAATATATTTTTACACATTATCTGAAAAAAATGGCAGAAATGATGAATAACTACTCCAATCCCTTCCATGTGGAATCTAAAGCCCTCCAAAATTTGACTCTCTAGCCTGCTTCTCCAACCTTTTCACTTACTGTTTAAAACTTATGACTCCAGCAAAGCCCTGTGTAAGCACAACAGAACACTGAGAGGTATGCAAGCTAATAATCCGTCCTCTTTCCTAGCCCCGGGCAGAATCAGAGCCAGGGTTCCAGGACAGTGGTTTTACTCACTGCTTTCTTTCAATACTAGGACAGTTTCTGGCACTGGTTCCGTCAATAAGCAATTAATGAATAAATACAACAGTTATTTAATTATATCCATTTGTTAATGTTACATAATAAATAGTGCAAAAACTAGACTTGTCTTCTTGGTCACAGGTCTGAAGCAGCTACCTTAAATGAAATGTATCTTTTAGAAAGAAAAAATTAATTACTAAATCACTGAATGACCATGTTTGCACTATAGTTTATTTTTATTTCAAGTCTTTCTTTTGGAATCTAAATACTAGTAGTAGAGTAGAAAAAGCAGAGTCACTTGTAGGTCAGTCTAGCCTTCAGGTCCACACCAGCAGATGTAATCAATACCCTGTGTTTCTAATTAAAGGAGGTGAAAAGGAGTGAGAGGATTGAGTTACAACTAGTACTTTTATGTCCCAAGTAGTGCTCATCCTTGGTGACATGACTATTTATTGACTACTCTAGCAAAGGTCAAACAAGTTCTCTGAGGAAAATCATCCACAGGGGACAGAACTTGGTATTGAAACATTCAAGCCAGTGGATTTGAGAAGGAGAAAGATACTAACACTCAGGAAAACAGTTATTAAAGTGAGGACAAGAATTAGCAGTAGCAGGAAACTGACTAACCAAATAATACACAACAAAGTAAAAAAAAAAATCTAATATGGAAACAATACAGGGAAAAAAAAAAGAGTAATGAAATCAACTTTATTTCTAATCATCTCAGCTATTTTGGTTCAGAATAAAGGACAGTACTGAGAGTTGTCTCTGCATCACAATGGAGGAAAAAAGTTGACTACTGTTTCAGAGAGAGCTCTTTTCAATGAACAAGATCTTAAAAAAGTGACCTACCTGACCCCTCATCACAGACATCTGCTTTTCAAAAGTGGCTTTGTCAAATTTTCTGTCAATCTATCACAAACAGAAAAGGAAACATTATTACAAAAATCAAGCTCTTTGAAAAAACACTTGAAAACAAATGAACTCTTCAACCTAGCACATGAGATCATTACAAAGCATTCCTAATAAAATAGTTACACGAAAAGATTAATTTTACTTGATGCATTTTTGTGTACCTCTAGAATGACAATAAATAATTCTACTTATACTCCAACTTGTTCCAGAAAGGATTTAAAATGACTTTCCAGCCAACAGCTTTAGGCTCTTTTTAAGAAAATTAAATAACAGATCACCAAACATTTCTTATAATTCACAGAGTTAATTTTGTAAAAGTTCAACTTTTGAAGAAAACAACTTCCCAAATTATAATGTAGTCTCATTTCAAAGAATACCCAAAGTGTAACTTCACAAATTTATGCTCCTGTAAAGAAAAATGCTAACTCCTTTCTGTTACATCAGGTTCTGCAAGCAGTGATATCAGAAGCAGTAAACTGCAAATTAGCTCTATTAGGAAAAACTCTTTTAAGATTTATTTCATTTTCTGAAATAGTTAAAACTAAAAATCTATTTACCTTAAAAAGTTCATAAAGATCTTCACATAAATCTTGCACAAAGTTCATGTCTGAAATATATGGCAGAACCAAGTTTTTTATTTCTTCAGAAAAAGGAACTTTTGCTTGAGGAAGCCAAGCCCAGTGAAATGGATCTAAAAAAAAAACTATTCTTATCAGTGAGGGGAAATGGTTTATTTAGACTCACATTTATTCAGTATTTTTCTCTATAATTCCTGGGTTAACAAAAAGACAGAAGTTATCAGAACAATTACTCTTTGCCATCTAAGTTATTCAAATTTTTAAGTTTAGATGGTTAATTCAGATGGCTTCCTTGGTGGCTCAGAAGGTAAAGAATCTGCCTGCAATGCGGGAGACCCAGATTTGATCCCTGCGTCGAGAAGATCCCCTGGAGAAGGGAATGGCAACCTACTTCAGTATTCTTGCCTGGAGAATTCCATGGACAGAGGAGTCTGACAGGCTCCAGTCCCTGCAGTTGCAAAAAGCTGGACAGGACTGAGCAACTAACACTTTCACTTTCAGATGGGAAAGCACAGTATTTACCCAAGCTGGTTAGGTTTCTGAGTTTTAAACAGGAAAATAGTAGTTTTGATCATGAGTGTATCTCCAGCAGCCCTATATCATATCTGAATGTCTGGTTGCTGTGTTTGGAAATTGAGGGGTACCTATAATTTGTTCACAGCCCCAGATATCATGACTGAGGTCTCCCTGCAGTTTCAGCCACAAATGGTCAGGAATTGATGACTCTTTGGTGTGTATGTATTATGTCTGTGCTTAAAATTTTAAATCACTAGTAGGTCAATAGGTAAAATGTTCTAAAATTTTAAATCATTAGTAGGTCAATTGGTGGGCTTCCCTGATAGCTCAGTTGGTAAAGAATCCGCCTGCAATGCAGGAGACCCCAATTTGATTCCTGGGTTGGGAAGATCTGCTGGAGAAGGGGTAGGCTACCCACTCCAGTATTCTTGGGCTTCCCTTGTGGCTCAGCTGGTAAAGAATCCGCCTGCAATGCGGGAGACCTGGATTCGATCCCTGGGTTGGGACAATCCCCTGGAAGAGGGAAAGGCTATACCCACTCTAGTATTCTGGCCTGGAGAATTCCATGGACTTTATAGTCCATGGGGTGGCAAAGAGTTGGACACAACTGAGCAACTTTCACTTTCAGGTCATCAGGTAAGCCACTTTGAGAGAGAAAAGATTCATGATTTTGGGCTAACTCTAGTTCTCGCCCAAGAAGACTATTAAATATACACAGTGCCAGGACTAGAAAGATTTGTAAAGCAGTGAGATAATCTAGATATAGGGTGCATATTCAGATTCTTGCAAGAAAATGTAAGGTTTATGACAGTATGATCCCCTACAGAACTACAGTTCATTCAAGGAGAATCTCTAGCTCCTACCACTCAGAAAGCCCCGAGGGAAAAAACTTTGCCTTTAGAGTCATTTCTTCTGAATTCTCCTTTATCTATCTCTTTGAATACTATGGAAAGTACAGTCCATTCCAAAGAAAGCCGTCCCCTGACCAATCACAGAAAAGAAAAGCTCTGATTCTCTGCCTGTCTCTAATTCCAATCCCTGCCCCTCAACTTGTTTTATCACCGTTCACACTCTCCCCTAAGGCCCCCAGTCATCTCATAAGGCTCTTTCCAAAAGTCCGTGTGCAGTCCTCATGCTACTTCACGTGTCTTTGCAGCCAGCAGCACTGTTCTCTGTCGTCTCCCTCTGTGAAATGCTCTCCGACGTGGTTTCTGGTGCTACCACTGTCTCAAACTTTACCTTCTGTCTTTTAAGCCATTTCTCTTTTGCTGGCTTTTTCTCCCGGTTTCAACACCACCATTGCCAGACTCTACACTTAAGTCTTTTCTCTCCTTCATTTACCAAACATTCATGAAATGTCTATTGAGTACCTACGTATCTCACATTGCTCAAGTGATAGCATTTGTTCACCATGATGTTCCCAGGTGCAACACCACCATGGCTTCTGCTTACCAAGGTGACAGTTTAAAAATGACATCCTCAATACCAATTACTCTTCCAACCTAGGGACTGAATCCAGATCTCCCGCATTGCAGGCAGAGTCTTTACTGACTGAGCTACCAGGGAAGCTCCACCAAACATTCATGAAACATTTACTGAGTACCTACGTATCTCACACTGCCCGAGTGATGGCATTTGTTCACCACGATTTTCCCAGGTGATAGCAACTCTGCCATGGCTTCCACTTACCAAAGTAACAGTTTAAAGATTACATCCTCAATACCAATTACTCTTTCGAGTTCTAGACCCTTATTTTTTTGGTGTCTGTGTTTGTAAAATTTTTCAGGTGTATTGTAGGCATCTTAAACTTGACACCTTTAAAAGGCAATCTGTATATAGATTCCAAACCATTAGAGGTAAAAAAGAAAAATAGAACAAAGACATCTCAAGTCAGTTCAACCAAAGACTGGAAAGGAAAAAAAGAAAAAATTGAAATTCATGGTAAATAGGAAAAAAAAAGATGGTAGGGAAAGTTCAAACACATCAGGAGTTTATTGAGACAAACTACAGTTAAGTGTAGCTATTAAAAGGATCTCAGATTGGGCAAAAAATCTTCAGCTAGGAGCTATTTATATGTCATATACTTAAAACAAAATGATGGAAATTGAAAATAAAAGCATAGAATAATACAAGTAAATACTAGTAAAAAGAAATGAGGTATAGCAATGTTACAACAGACAAAATAAGAAATGCGAAAAACACTGTGAGGGATAAAGAGGGATATATTTTACACTAACAAAAAGAACAAGTCACCCCACCAAGATAAAACACTGGGACTTTGAGTGTGGAATACAAAGCAAAAAGTGCACAGAAATACAAGAAAAAATTGACAAAAATCTCAATCATGGTGAACTTTGTCTCTCAAAAATTAGCAAATTAAATGGTTAAAAAATAGGTCAAGAATATGATTTGACTAATAAGTTTTCATTAGAAGACAGACTTGGTGCTCAACCACATTGTTCTCAAAAATAGTACTTTAAACTGGCCATAGATCAAGTTAGCAAAGAATGACTAACAAATTTCAAATTTGGAAAGCTATCAAATTTATTTTACAAGGCTAACACAAGCTAAGAAATCAAAATCAGACATAGTCACCCAAAATAAGGAACGATACATGGCAAGGCTCACAGAATGTATTACATATCTTTGCATCCGAGGGTCTAGAATTGAGTCTGAATGACTGTAACATACCCAGCTTTTCCTCTGCTATTTTGATATCATTCCCATCCTATTCTGAAAAAGGGGTCACCAGAGATACTATAAAAATTTCTAAATACTCACATGCTCTCCACTCATCAGGATGTTTAAAAGGAAACGCTAGACCGTTATCAATTGCAGCTATTTTAATAAGTGTTTCTTTATCATCAGTCCATTTTGTATCCTAAAAGGGAGAAAATAGTTGATAAAACAATTTATATGTATATTTCCAAAAGAAAAAAATGTATAATAATTATTGAGCTTTAAAGACATTTTATCAGAAGAGTCTATAAAAATAAAGTTACCAGAAAGTACCAATTTACCATTTAAGGGAAGACAGGGTCTTAAGAACCAGTAAAAACTTCATAATCACTACTTTTTAAATCTGCTATTACAAAGTTATACAGTAATAGTTTCATTCTTTTCATCTTTGGGGAAGAAGGCTTGACGTTATTAAGACTTCAAAATGTGTAGTTCTGTATTACAGGCTCCAGGTTCATCCACCTCACTGCAACTGACTCAAATTCATTCCTTTTTATGCTAAGTAATATTCCATTGTATTATATATATATGTACCACATCTTCTTTATCCATTCACCTGTTGATGGACATCTAGGTTGCTTCCATGTCCTGGCTATTGTTAAATAGTGCTGCAATGAACCCTGGGGAACATGTGTCTTTTAGAATTGTGGTTTTTCCCAGGGTATATGCCCAGCAGTGGGATGGCTGGGTTATATAGTAGTTTTGTATAGAGTGAGGTAAGTCAGAAAGAGAAAAACAAATATTATATATTAACACATATATATGGAATCTAGAAAAATGGTACTGATGAATCTATTTGCAGTGAAGGAATGGAGATGTAGATACAGAGAAAGGACTTCTGGATACAGCTGGGTAAGGAAACGGTGGGATGAACTGAGAAAGTAGCACTGGCATGTATACATTATTATGTGTAAAATAGAAAACTGGAGGGAAGTTGCTTTATAACACAGGAAGTCCAGCCTGGAGCTCTGTAATGACCTAGAGGGAGGGGTGAGATGTGGGGGAGGGGAGGGAGGCTCAAGAGGCAGAGGATATACGTATAATTATGATTGATTTGTGCTGTTGCATCACAGAAACCAATGCAACATTGTAAAGCAATGTTCCTCCAATTAAAAAATTTTTTTAAAATAAATGTTATGACCATGTATACCAAAAAATGTTAATTATGTGATGGGATGGAGGTGTCAGCCAACCATACTGAGATAGTCATTTCACAATATATACTTGTATCAAATCATATCGTACACCTTAAAACTGCATGCATGTCAATAATACCTCAATAAAGTTGGGGAGAAAAATAAATAAAATGTGTAGTTCTGGATAATTTACTGTTAGATGTGTTGCTTAAATGGATGTATGTGTGTTAGTTGCTCAGTTGTGTCTGACTCTGTGACCCCCATGGACTGTAACCTGCCAGGTTCCTTTGTCTGTGGGATTCTCCAGGCAAGAATACAGGAATGGGTTGCCATTTCCTTCTCTAGGGGATTTTCCTGACCCAGGGATCAAACCTGGGTCTCCCGCATCGGCAGGCCAATTCTTTACTGACTGAGCCACCAGGGCTTAAATGTACGGTATTTGCAAAATACTGATATTTTTAAGATAATGACAAAGTTACCTTACTAAAATAAAGTCTTTCCTAGGGTCTCATAGAAATAATTAGTTCAAGCACAAAATGTTTCTAAATAAAACTCGCCAATAACCATGGCTAAATGTAATAAGGTCCAGTAGAAGGAACCTCAAGATACTCTTGATTATAGAAGGTAGGCCATTTCTAACTTCTCCATTCTCCTGTAATGGAAATGCAAGCCTCAGAAGCAAGAGAGTTTTCATGTGGAAGAGTACTTCTTATTATCTAAAAATAGACATTATCATTATTAAGTGGTCTAGATTTTAAAAAGGTGAAAAAGATAATTTTTAATTAAAAGTATTACAGTGAAGGTACAGATGATACATGCCAGAGTTGTTTCTGTTAGCTTACATCAAATATCTTATCTCAATGAGAATGCACAAAATACTTAAGAGCAAAAGAATAAGGTTTTCAGTAAAATCCAGTTGCTTTAGATATACCAATAAAATATATTTAGAAACTATTATAAGCAGGTATATTTTTTTAATTAATTAATTAATTTATTTATTTTTTATCACAACCATAGTGTATCTTTTTTTTTTTTTTTTTTACATGTATTCCCCATCCCGGTCCCCCCTCCCACCTCCCTCTCCACCCGATCCCTCTGGGTCTTCCCAGTGTACCAGGCCCGAGCACTTGTCTCATGCACCCAACGGGCTGGTGAACTGTTTCACCCTAGATAATATACGTGTTTCAATGCTGTTCTCTTGAAATATCCCACCCTCACCTTCAGAAATATCCCACCCTCGCCTTTAGAAAGATGGTAATGATAACCCTTTGTGCAAAACAGAAAAAGAGACTCCTATGTATAGAACAGACTTGTGGACTCTGGGAGAAGGCGAGGGTGGGATATAAGCAGGTATATTTTTATATATGTATTTTTAAATTTTATATATGTATTTTAAAACCCTGCTATAACTGTCATTTATTTTTATTTCTAACACTCTTTTCTATTTATAACTTCAGTGAGGTATAATTTACACACAATAAACTTTACACATTAAAGTCAATAAACTTTACACATTAAAGTGTACAAGTTGATAAGCACTGAAAGATATGAAACCACCCAGATGTTTCCGTGTCCTTTAGCAGTCTCTTCCCTTCCTTTACCCAACCCCAGGCAAACATCATTTGTTTTCTGTCCCTAGGGATTAGTTTGTACTTTCTAGATTTTTATACAAAAGGAATCAGACAGTATCTTCCCTTTTGTTTAGCTTCTTTCACTCAGCAGCGTTTTGAGATTCATCCACATTACTGCATGTATCAAGTGTGTTCTTTATTTATTGCTGATTACTTTGAATATGTAATTTCAAAATTCTTTGATGAACTATGAAAATTACAAACTTTTTAAAGTGATGTAACAGCTTTAAATGATGAGAATCAGTTCAGTTCAGCTCAGTCATTCAGTTGTGTCCGACTCTCTGCGACCCCATGGACTGCAGCACGCCAGGCCTCCCTGTCCATCACCAACTCCCTGAGTTTTCTCAAACTCATGTCCATTGAGTCGGTGATGTCATCCAACCATCTCAGCCTCTGTCATCCCCTTCTCCTCCCAGCTTCAATCTTTCCCAGCATCAGGGTCTTTTCTAATGAGTAAGTTCTTTGCATCAGGTGGCCAAAGGATTGGAGTTTCACCTTTAATATCAGCCCTTCCAATGAACACTCAGGACTGATTTCCTTTAGGATGTACTGGTTGGATCTCCTTGCAGTCCAAGGGACTTTCATGAGTCTTCTCCAACACCACAGTTGAAAAGCATCAATATTTCAGTGCGCAGCTTTCTTTATACTTCAACTCTCACATCCATACATGACTACTGGGAAAACCATAGCTTTGATTAGATGGACCTTTGCTGGCAAAGTAATGTCTCTGCTTTTTAATATGCTGTTTAGGTTGGTTATAACTTTTCTTCCAAGGAGCAAGCGTCTTTTAATTTCATGGCTGCAGTCACCACCTGCAGTGATTTTGGAGCCCAGAAAAATAAAGTCAGCCACTGTTTCCACTGTTTCCCCATCTATTTGCCATGAAGTGATGGGACGTTAGTTTTCTGAGTGTTGTGCTTTAAGCCAACTTTTTCACTCTCCTCTTTCACTTTCATCAAGAGGTTCTTTAGTTCTACTTCACTTTCTGCCATAACGGTGGTGTCATCTGCATATCTGAGGTTATTGATATTTCTCTCAGCAATCTTGATTCCAGCTTGTGCTTCTTCCAGACCCGCGCTGGAATGTACCATGATATACTCTGCGTATAAGTTAAATAAGCAGGGTGACAATATACAGCCTTGACGTACTCCTTTCCTTATTTGGAACCAGTCTATTGTTTCATGTCCAGTTCTAACTGTTGCTTCCTGACCTACATACAGATTTCTCAAGAGGCAGGTCAGGTGGTCTGGTACTACCTTCTCTTTCAGAATTTTCCACAGTTTGCCATGATCCACACAGTCAAAGGCTTTGGCATAGTCAGTAAAGCAGAAATAGATGTTTTTCTGGAACTCTCTTGCTTTTTCGATGATCCAATGGATGTTGGCAATTTGATCTCTGGTTCCTCTGCCCTTTCTAAATCCAGCTTGAACATCTGGAAGTTCATGGTTCACATACTGTTGAGGTCTGGCTTGGAGAATTTTGAGCATTACTTTACTAGCATGTGAGATGAGTGCAACTGTGTGGCAGTTTGATCATTCTTTGGCATTGCCTTTCTTTGGGACTGGAATGAAAACTGACCTTTTTCCAGTAAAAAGAATATCAGTACTGAGCTGATATTATTCTTCTATACTAATACAACATACAAAATAAAATTGCACAGAGATTTCAAAAACAGAATAAAAAAATGCAACATAAGCAGGCGAAGGAAAGAAAAAAGATGACAAAAACAGAAAAAGGAGATAAAAACCAAGGATCAAGGTGAAGGAAATGAGGAAGTGATGAAGAATAACTTCAAGGAATTTTTAATAGACACTGATAGTGTGTTTATATATGCATATATAGTAAAATTCCCTCACCGTAACTTCATCTTCATGTGTCTGCTTTTCACATCTGATTAACCAGTTATCATTTCCCCTGTCTTTCAAAACAAACGAAAAATCTATTACTTCATTTTTTATAGATATCATAGCTTAATATCAAGCAGAAAAATCTAGTCACCTCCTTGATTTTGAGACCTTCACTTGTTATCTGTAGCATAGTAACACATTAAAGGCTTCAATTTAATACATACAAACTAAAAACACTCATAAATGTTAGTTAACATTTATTGTTTAGTCTGTGCCAGAAATTGTTGTTAAGTGCCTTAACATGTATTAACTCATCAAATTCTTAAAAAAACTCTGTGAAGTAGGTACAATTACTGTCAAGAACTTTTAAATCAGCATTATTAGAAAGGATAATTTCTCTTCACCTGAGGGAGAAAAACGATCTACCCCCGTTACCAAGCAAATTTCTCTTACCTAATGTCACGACAAGAGTAGTCTAGACACAAATTCTTTAAAAAACTGAAGCAGAGTTGGTTTACTGAATACAGCACTGTGTTAGTGTCAGGTGTGCAGCAAAGTGATTCCGGTAAACAGACAATTTTATCAGGTTATTTCCCATTATCGTTATCACAAGATCTTGAATATAACTTCCTGTGCTGCACCATCTCCTTGGTGCCTATTTATCTGAGCACAGCAGTTTGTACCTGTTCGCCCCACGCTCCTCATCTGTCCCTCCTTCCTTCCTTCTCCCCTGGGGTAGCCATCAGTTTGTTTCCTACGTCTGCAAGTCTGCTCCTGTTTTGTATGCGGATTCACTGGTATTACTTTTTTTAGATTCCACATATAATTGATCATATAATTTTTGTCTTTCTCAGTCTGATTTACTTTACCATGTATAACATTTTCTAGGTCCACCCACATTGCTGCAAATGGCAACAGTTCATTCTCTTTTGTGACTGAGTACTATATTCCATTGGACTCTATACTAACTTTACCATTAATTTAAGACTGTATGATTTTAAAAGGTGAATCTAAAAAGGTACATAATGCTTTTTCAGAAACTAATATAAATGAGCAAAAATTCTGAACTAGAGTTTTCAGGCTTCAGAGTACATCAGAATTGCCTGGGGGGTGGTGGTTTAGTTGTTCAGTCATGTCCAGCTCTTTGTGACCCTATGAACTGTAGCCCGCCAGGCTCCTCTGTCCATAGTAGCTTCCAGGCAAGAATACTGGAGTGGGTTGCCATTTCCTTCTCCAGGGGATCTTCCTGACCCAGGGATTGAACCTGGGTCTCCTGCACTGCGGGCAGATTCTTCACCGACTGAGCTACCAGGGAAGCCCCATAGGACCTGTTAAAACACTAACTGCTGGACCCATGCTCAGTAGATTGGGATGAGTTCCCAGAAGATGCATTTAGGCCCACATAACACTGACCCTAAAACAGACCAGGGAACCACATTTGGGAATCACTGCTTCAAATTATCAACAGCGTCACTGCTCCCTGCCAGCACAGAAAAAATTAAGAGTTTATTGTATTTACAGACTGTACTAACAGCCACCTAATGTCAAAATAAGCATCTAAAATAACTTACACAATCAAGTTTTAATTATTCATATTATGCAGATAACATCTCCAATTTCCAGTAGGCTTTGTACTGCTGCCAAGAAACTCCACCTGAGGGACAGGCACTCATCACTATCACTGGGGCACTCATCACTATCAGCCTGCCCTGAGTCAGAATCTCCAGTATGGGTTTAATGCTGCCTGGGAGAGTCGGCACTACGTATCTGCTTTCCAAGGCAGGCAAAGAAAAAGACTTTGCCTGTTTCAAAAAGTAGCCTTAAGACTACTGCAGCAAAACTTTAAATCTTTGATTTGGATAAACAAGAGTTGAATACAGTTTGAAAGTTAAGATGTGAGTAAACAATGAGAGAACTTCCATACCTGTATTTCTGATGATGTAATCCAGAACAACTAATCTTTCAAACTGTGACTGAAACTGTTTTCTAATATTCTCAGGCAAAGGGTCAGCTTCAAATTTCCTAAGCCAACATTCAGCCTCCTTGTAACCTTCAACAAATAACTGAAAGGAACCAATCTATAATTTTAAGAATTATAGTTAGAAAAGAAACTACAAGAACAAAGGAATTACTTTTAAAATTTCTCAGCAGTACTGTCATAAAATACTTTATATAAACACAATAAGAAAAACTGAAGTTAATACTAATTTATATAAGCCACATTTATCAAGAAAACTATTTTTATACATTAATTTAAAATAATCACATAAAGAATATATAGCAAATAAAAAATGATCAATCCTAGACTTTTAAGGAGCACAGAAGCTATTTTAGGATAATTGAAAAAGAAAATACACACATGTACTCGAGGTAATATTCTCAATGAGAATGCTATTTTCTAAAAATATTTATTAAAATGAATTCAATTGTGAAGACCAAAATCTGTACCTATCTTGGCTTTTTAATAATAGTGTGATTTTATCTTACTGCAAAAATACATTAAGATTCTTTTTTACAACAGAAAATAACTTTATTTTTTAAAATGAATGAATTATGTGACTATGCAGCTTAAAGATCCTGTAATAAATTTTAAAGAATTAATCATAACCTCTACAGTGGTTTTTAAAAAAGTCCTTTCCTTGAAGATATGTCTATGTTATAAGGCTTCCTATCACTAAAATTACAAGCTGTTAACATTAAACAATTTTTTAAAGAAGAAAATGCAAATTCAAACAGCACAGAACACATAGATAATGGTACCCTAGCTGGCTTCCTTTGTCCGTGGGATTCTCCAGGCAAGAATACTGGAGTGGGTTGCCATCTCCTCCTCCAGGGGATCCTCCCTGCTGAGGCACTGAACCCAGGCCTCCTGCCTTGCAGGCAGGTTCTTTACTGTCTGAGCCGCCAGGGAAGCTGGCTTCATAAAAACAAACAAAGCACTACAAAGAAAATCTATCTCCAGAATTCCCTGGCAGTCCAGTGGTTAGGACTACGTGCTTTCACTGCTAAGGGGCTGGGGGTTCGATCCCTGGTTGGGGAATTAAAATCCTACACGCTGGATGGTGATGCCAAAAATAAACATCTCTTAACACTTTATGTGACCTGTTGCTGGCATGAAATTTTAACGATTTCCTAAATGTTTTCTCTAAAGCACTCATAATGAGGTCCTAGTAGTCATAAATAGGGAAATTATTTCAGCATATGCAAGGAGTAACAGGCCTTGTCAATGGTTTCAAAATTTCCTGCTTACTTGGAGTACAATATTAAAGACAAGTTAACCATGTAGTTCTTACTTTAATTCTTTTATATAGATAAATGCATAGCAACAACAAGACAAAAAAATTGCAGGTTAAATATATTTAAAAAAATAATGAAAAGTCTAGTGCTTTTTCTAGAATGCTTTTCTCATTAACCTTCACTATCCTTGCAGAGCTAGTTGCTTATCATCCCTTAGGTTTATTTAAAACCTATGATAAGGAAAAAAACAAAATCTAATATGTAGTGAGTAAACCTGGTTACTACCATTTACTATGTGCCAGGGACTATACCAAGTACCTGACATAAACTTTATCACTTTATTCTCACAACGCTAGTAGTTTCTGTCATCCTCGATTTATAGAAACTGAAGCTTGGGGAATAAGAGACTCACCCAAGGTCTCAGAGCTAACTGGTGAAGAGGCTTGGAGTACAATCTAGGTCTAATTCTTGGCCTGTACTTTCAGCTGTAACTTTCTAAAGCCTTAGGTGCAATCTCTTCTCGGAAATTCCCCAGCTCTCCAAACTGGGTTAAATATCCCTCCTCTACCCACTCTAAGCTCTCCGCAATTAATCATCATTAACAGCTTTATCATATTGTGTTGAGACTGCTTGTTACTACAAGCTATTGAAGATGGGAAAACCATTTTTACTAATATACCCATAACCCACAGCATAGAGCCTAGAGAGCTCAGGTAATATGTGATGAAGTTTGTTGAAGTTTGTGTGTGCTTCGCTGTGTCTGACTCTTTGTGACCCCATGGACTGTAGTCTGCCAGGCTCCTCTGTCCATGGGATTCTCCAGGTAAGAATACTGGAGTGGGTTGCCATTTCCTTCTCCAAGGGATCTTCCCGACCCAGGGACTGAACCTGTGTCTCTTGCACCTCCTGCACTGGCAGGCAGATTCTTTACCACTGTGCCATCTGGGAAGCCCAATATGTGATGAATTGCCAGCTCTCTGCCCCCGCCCTTCCCATAAAGCACATCACTGTAACTCACCTTAGGAGGAAGTCCTATCCGATGAAATTTTCTACCTACTTTTGGCACTTTCTCCAAAGCATACTTTTTGCCTCTAGATTTTGCACGGTCAATTGCACTGTAGTTAAACGTCTCACTGACAAGCCAAACCACCTAGAAATGTACAGTTTAGAGAAATGGCTATTAGAATTTGCATTATTATTGTCTATTCACATACACCATGGAACTCACATTAATGCTGTAAATGAGTGAAGTTTAATGCTATACTAAATGCCCTTGAGAATCTAAAACAGAAAAGCTAAGAGACTTTGTAAAGTTAGTTAAATGGCACACATGTATATCTTTCTCAGAGAAATACAGCCTAAAATGGCCAGTGGAAGAAAGTATGTAGAATTAGGAAGGAAGGTTTTGAGAACTTTAAGTAAAAATGTATAAAGGTCAAAAAGAAAAAGACAGGAATCTTCTGAGGATGTTAGTTATCTCTACCTTCAACAGAATTTCTAGATCACTGATTTTTTTCTGCTTTCTGAATGCTGGTTCTTTCTCCTCTTTTTGTCAGCATCATCTCAGCTCACATGAGAAAGAGATATTCCCTTGGATATTCTGTGTGTCTACACTCATTGGAAAAGATCCTGATGCTGGGAAAGACTGAAGGCGGTAGAAGAAGGCGACGACAGAGGATGAGATGGTTGGATGGCATCACTGACTCGATGGACATGAGTCTGAGCAAGCTCCAGGAGTTGGTGATGGACAGGGAGGCCTGGCGTGCTGGAGTCCACGGGGTCACAAACAGTCGGACACAACTGAGTGACTGAACCAAGTGACTGACACTAGAATCAATTTACTAGTCATTTGTGACTCTGGATTACCAACCGCGACTTTAGATTCTGTAAACTAGAAGTACATGATAGAAAGAATGCCTCCCTTACTCTTGTTTTTGGTACAATGCCCAGATGAAGCTTTTCGTCCACAAGGTAGGCACCAGCTTCGGAAAGGTATCCCTGGTTAGGAAGCAGGCAGCCCCTGCCAAAGCAGCAAGGGCAGCAGACCTTGTGAACGTATTTGGTCCATTTCGGATTCAGGTGACCATAAGGCTCTTCTGATTTGGGTTTAAACACACCAATAATTTTCTATATAGGAAGAAAGTAAACACTTTGTTAGACTTTTAATATGGGGAGATGATAAGCATAAAATGCATTCTGGTTTTTTCTACTCTTCCCACCACAGATTTGGGCATAAGCCTTAACAATTAAGAGTTTCAATTCCAGTCACAGTTTTACACTCATTCTCACTCAACAATCTAAAATCAATAATCTTTTGAGCTAGTGATTTTCAAACTGTGCTCTGAGAAACCCTAGAGAAGGTAAGAAGAGAGGGCTCTGAGACCCCATCCTCTGGTTTCACCCATTTTACATAACGGACGCCCTAGTTTAAAACGAGTTCTGCTGATTTTAAAATGTTTGAAAATCAGTGACCTAGGTCAAACAGTGCTATTATTCAACATCTATTAAATATTCAAATTATATGCTTATTCATTATCTACTTTCCCAGTAGGTGTGCATTCTAAAAGGACAGGGGACTTTCTCTGTAAGGGCTGTATCACCAGTACTCAGAACAGTACCTGGCATACAGTAGGCATTCAAGCATTTGTTAAATGAATAAATCCAATCACAAAAAGCCATCTCTAAGATACAAAGGAAATGATAGGATATAGTGACATCTATGCTGCTGGATTCTCCTTTTTTCAATTTCTTTTATGAACCAATTTTAAATAAATTCTCCTCTTAAAAAAAATTGCTCATGGATGTCTAAAAGTCTTTCCCCATCAAGCATATATATCCTGTTAGAACTGTCTTTATTATTGGTCTGATAAAATATATTCATATTAAATTTAGAAGCTGAATTATCCTTAGATAAGAAATAAAAAACCTTATTAGAAGTATATAATTGTTTTATAATGCAGTAGTCTAAGTCACTAATAAAGACGTCAACAAGAACAAATCAAGAAATCAAGCTTGGAATAAACATTGAGACATTGACACTACCTACGTATATATATATATTAAAATCTCAAAAAGACTGTCTTAAAAAATATAACTTCAGTCTATGAAAAAATATTTGGGTAGAATTATAATCTGTTTTTCCTCCTGAAAAAAGAACTGCTGGCTATGCATCATTCAGAAAGCTTTTAGAAATGATAATGCAAATTTTTGAAAAATTCTAAACTGAGTTGAACAAAGTCCATATCAGCTTCTCTTTTCTGCCTTAGGATTATTCTTTGGTTCATTTCATTTTGTCACATTCCAATGCCTTCAAACTTCAAACTGCCCAGGATCCTTCTCTGGTATAATAAAGCTGGAAAAAATATTCTGAGGGTAAAAGAGAACTCTGCTTAGTTACTGCAGAGGATGAGATGGTTAGATAGCACTCGACTCAATGGACATGAATTTGGGCAAACTCCAGGAGATAGTTGAGGAAAGATGAGCCTGGCATGCTGCAGTCCATGAACTCACAAAGAGTCGGACACAACTTAGCAACTAAACAACAACAAGGACTTGTGAATATAAACCCCAGAAATCCACAGCTGAATGTTGAGTATTCAATAAATACTTGAAGCCAAATATTAAAATAATAAAATGGAAATTATACAAACAGCTCTAGTTTTAAATAGTAGAGGGCTTTAGTTAAAGATAAACTGATCTTTATTTCTGAAAAGAGGGTGCAACCAGATTTATTAGGAAAATATCTTCAGAACCTCACAATGACTTCACATTAAAGCTAGTGTTTTCCAAAAGGTCTGTTATATACAGTAGCTCTATGAAATTCTCACCCTCTTAGGATCCTTCACAAAGTAACTTCCACTTGAACCTTGAGAGATTCTTTCTGGATAAACTTCAAATTCTATTGCTTGCTCCGCTTTCAATATAATATCAGCAAATTCTGGATCATCCAAAAATGTGTTCAACTCTGAAGAATCAACAATTATTTCATTAAGAAAAACATTAATACAGAATGCAAAAAGGAAGAAAGACCAGCTATGAGAATGCTCACAACATAGACCTGTAATACTAGATTTAGGTTACTAGTGTTAAGATATTTAGGCACAGAAAAATGTAGACTTCCCTGGTGGCTCAGATAGGAAAGAATCCACCTGCAATGCGGGAGACCTGGGTTCAATCCCTGGAATGGGAAGATTCCCCTGGAGAAGAGAATGGCTACCCACTCCAGTATTCTGGCCAGGACATAGCCTGGAGGGCTACAGTCCATAGGGTCACAAAGAGTTTGACACAACTGAGTGACTAACGCTTTCACTTTTTTTCCATGGAGTGTTTCGATGTCTTTTTTTTTGTTTTCTAACCCCACTTTAAGTATCAAGTTAAGACACAAGGAAAGCAAGATTTCCTATGCTGAAAAAAATCACACAAATTCCTTGGGTTAACTTGAACTCCTCCCTCCCAGTGATTTTGTTCTTCATCCAGCCTCAGCCTGCATTTGCAGTCATTCCTCAGATATATCATCACCAATACCTGCAACCACATCACACGTAGCATTTCAAGCATCTTCTATTTTCTTAGTTCACTGCCTCTGGCATCCTGAGTCCAAAAATTCTTTCATCCCACTACGACCTTTAAAGCACTGATCTACCAAACACTGTTCAAGGGTCTTCACCCACTTTGTGTCCCTCCTTGGCTAGCATAAATTATGGTTAATCATCACTAAAATCACTCTCTTCTTCCCACTCCTCATCATAGTTACCTGTAAAATCTCAATCCTGGTTAAATCCAACTGTCTACTGACTATGCCTGTGCCTGGACAGCTGAACTTGCCAAACACAACGCCTGGTGTCTTCCCTTAAATGCCTGGTGTCTCCCCTTTAAAAAAAAAAACCCACAAACCTCAGCTGGACTTTTCATGTTGTCTGGGAGTCCTGTTAAAGACTGAATGCTTGTGTTCCTCTGAAATACATCAAGGCCTTAATCCCCAATGTGATCATATATGGAGGGGGACTTGGGGGGAAGCAATTAGGCTTAGATGAGGCCACGAGGGTGGGGATCCCACGATAGAGTTAGGCCATGTGAGGACCCAGGGAGAAGGCTGCCATCTGCAAGCCAAGAAGTGAGCCCTTGCCAAGAACCTGATCATGCCGACACCCTGATTTTGGGCTTCCCCACCTCCAGAACTGAGCAATAAAGTCTGCTGTTCAAAAGCCACCGAGGCTAGGGTATTTCATTATAACTTCCTAAACTAGGACAAGTCCCCCGGCACACAGACTCTCCCAGTCTTCTGGACAACTACCTCATACCCTCTCCTCTCCTCATATTCCCAACAACTCTTTCATCTCAGTAGATGATCTAGCTTCCTATTTCAAAAAGAAAACAGAAGCAGGCAGGAAAAACGATCACCTACCCTCAGCATCATATTTACCCCTTCATATTCTCTGCCTTCTGTTTATTACTGTACAGAAATGATCCAAAACCGAAGTTGACTCTTCCACTTTGTCTACTAGACCTAGCTCTCTGACTGTGTGCTTAGCTGCTCAGTTGTGTCCGACTTTGCGACCCCATGGACTGTAGCCAGCCAGGCTCCTCTGTCCATGGGGATTCTCCAGGCAAGAATACCGAGTGGGTTGCCAATGCCCTCCTTCAGGGGATCTTTCCGACCCAGGGATTGAATCCAGGTCTCCCACATTGCAGGTGGATTCTTTACCATCTGACCCCTACCAGGGAAGCCCTACCCCAGGACATTTCTTAAGCAGTTCTTTCCTGAATCAGTATTTCCCTCGCTATTGGATCATTTCCACAAACACATAAAACTTGACTTGATTTCACTTGACTGCCAAGATGCCATTTCTCCAGGTTGTCCTTCCATTTCATCGGCTACTCTTTTTCACTCTCTTGAGGGCTTATTTTCATCTCCCTAGCAGCTTAACTTTGGAAAGCCCAGGTTCAGTTCATGGTCCTCTTCTTCCTCATTAGCACTGATGACTTCCAGATTAATATCTCTGATACTTCTGCCCTGAACCCCAGACTACTATACCCAGCTTCTCCACTTGTATGTTTAGCAAACAGCTCAAACTTTACTGCCTCAAACTCAATTCATTTTCTCTCGACTGCCTCACTCCCAGTATTCCCTGTATTACTGGCAACTCCAAATCTTCTAGGTGCTCTTGTGAAAAGCCTTGGAATCATCCATGACCTCTCTTTCTCACCTTCCACATCCAATCCATCAGCAGGTTGTACAGCTACACCTTAAATGAACATCCAGAATCTAACCACTTCTTACAATCTCTATTCCTTCCATGTGATTCAAATCACTATCAACTCTAGCCTAGATTGTCACAAGAGTCTCTTAATGGATCTCCTCTCTATACTCAACAGGGAAGCTATAGAATCCTTCTAAAACCTAAGTCAGTTAACTGCCTGGCGGTCTAGTGGTGAGGACCCAGCACTTTCATTCACGAGGCAGCCCAGTGACTCTCCATCTCATTCAAAAGAAAAAAATCTCAAGTTCTAATATTGGCCCCCAAGACTCTACACAATCTCCCCTAACCTCCACTTTATTTTTCTGCTTAGCACTTATCACCTAACCTGTCATATAATTTAGCTATTTTGTGAGCTCCAAGAAGACAAGTATTTCTTTCACTGCTACATACCCAACTTTTTACAGTTACTGGAACATAAGAGGCACTCAATAAATATTTGAAGAATTAATAATTAATCATTTAAAGTGGTAGACAAGTTAAATATTCACATTTTTCTTTGAAAGGCATATAAATGTTATCACATGTAAATCTTATGAAAATTCAAACTATAAACTTTCCTTAATTTAAAACTTGCCTTAATTCAGACATAGAACTATTATTTACTAATTTTTAAAAGCTTATGCTGAGAAAAATATTGCAAAAAGGGCCCTTGGGCATATTTAACCTACTTAAAACAATAAATAATCCAAGTATTTAGTCATGTTCATAAAATTGAAATACTATTTTCAGAACTAGTCAATGAAAATTCTTAAGAATGAAGGGAGAAACTTTGTCTTTCTCATTCACTGTGTATCCTAGCACCTGGAGAGGGATCAGCATTTAGTGGGTTCTTAATAAACATTTAAATGAATAAAGTATTATTTATATAGCAGAATGTGCTAATAATTACTACATTAATCAAATGATACTTCTTCTAGGTCAAGGCTTGTAACAAGAAAGAAGTCAGAAAGTTATTTATCTCAACTTTGCTGGTATATTTTCTATAATACATCTCCAGCAGGTGGTCTCTGGGCCAATGTTTAAACACTTTCAAAGAGAGATACTCATTTTTTTTTTTTTTTACTTTTTGTGTTTTTTTGAAAATAAATATAAAACTTTTCTTTTTCAGAAAAAGGTCTCCTTGAAGCTTCACCCAATGTACTAGACTTGCCATCTGGAGCAAAACAAAAGTCTACTTACTCCTCTCTTCCCAGGGAGAGGCCTTCACATAGTTGCAGACCATTTCATGCTCCCCTAAGATTCCTCTATTCTCTGCCTCCTTCCACATGGAAGTGTTCTCAGGTTTTTCAGCATCCGAGCTGCCCTCCGGCTTCATGCTTCAGTTTTCCAATGTGCCTTTTAAAAATATGGTCTCCAGAATCGAGCAACTCATTGCGGAGAACAAAGACAGCTCTCAGTCTTGACACTATACCAAAATAAGAAGTACTCTAATATTACAATAGTTGTTTAGGAGTCCTGTCATACTAATTCACGTTGAACTAGCTAAACTCTTGGGCCACTCTTGGTCTCTCCCATCCTGTACCAAAGCAGTTCTTTTGGAAACTATGTGCAGACTTTGACATTACTATCACATGTTTTCAGGTTGCTTTATGGGTTAAGCTTTATGAGTTCATCATAGAACCTGCCTTTGTTACTCTCATGGAGCCCACAGTCATACTCAGGACACTTAATAATTCAGCTTCAACCCAAACCACAACCATTCCTATACAATCAGCCAGCATGTTTTCAATCCCTTTCTCTTGAGCTTGTCCCTTTGCTGAGCAATTATTTTGGATAAACGAGACTATCTCCCTACATGAAAACTGGCATTCTTTGAGGATGGTCTGGATTTACCATCACTGTCCAGAAAGGCACTTGGAAGACAACTGGTCCTGTCTAATTACTACCAGAAAAGAAAAAAAAGCAACACGATTACATATCAACTCTTCTAAAAACCAAAATAATTGTTTTTAAGTAGATTTTTGTGATCCATAACTCAAAATTACATCCCACAACTTTTATTTTAGTTACTTAAATGCATATTTAGCCATGAGTTTAACTTGGAGTATACATTCTAAGTTATACCACTTCAAGATATATGTGCGATAGAGATTTGGTTTGAAGGTTTGCTGTCATTGTTTGGTTTGATTGTTAATACCTGAGGGGCTTAAATAGCTATATTTTCTTTAAATTTTGTTCAGTTAATATTACGTTTACTCCTTCTAAGGAATAAACTGTGAAACTTTGATTTGTCTCTGTATTAGAAAATATTCAGATTTTCTGAGGAGACTGTCAGTTCTACTTCTGTATACTCCCTTTGGGACTCAACCTAAGGAGTGGTGGCCTGCCTTCCAGTCAAGCTCCAGTCCTATTCAAAATCCTCACTTTTCACAAGGCGTCCAGCCCACCCTCGGAACTTTCGCCCATGCTGTTCTGATGTACATGCCAAGTTTCTTTCCTATGGCTAATTTTTATCCATCCTTCAGCTCCATCTGACCACTTGTAATGCTGTAACAAAATGATCTTGGTCCCAGGAGGGCAGAAATCTTTGTTCTGTCCTGTGATATACGCCAAGTGCTTAAACCTGTGCCTGACACATGGCAGACCTTCAATAACGTGAGAAGTATTTATCAACAAACTGTTAACCACACTTAAGGGCTACAGCTGATCCTCTGGTAAGTAGAAATGAAAATGGATTAAGAGAACCCATTGTATAACCTGTTAACAACTACTTTTATATAAGTATGCATAGCAACTTATCAAGTTCTCATTTTAAATAAGTGAATCAAGATGAACTCTTCCTCACCGAAGGGCTGGGAATATATCTTACCCACTGGCCAGAATATCTTCTAAAATGTAAAGTAGCCGGTTCACAAGTTTGATGATCCGAACTAAGCTGGAACCCTCAGGGGTGCCAGTGCTATTCAAGTCTCAAACTGGTTGCTATTTCCTCTGCGAAGTCTTCCCTGGCCCCTATATCCAGGGCAGGGCTCCAAGGAACTGTCAGCGTTCCCTATGAAGCACATATATCCTGTTAGAACTGTCTTTTTTTTTTTTCATTTATTTTTATTAGTTGGAGGCTAATTACTTTACAATATTGTAGTGGGTTTTGTCATACATTGATCTGAATCAGCCATGGAGTTACAATTGACTTTTCCTCCATTAAGTTATAAGATTACACGAGGACAGGGCTGGTGACTGGACCTCCATTTGGTATCTGGTCACCACTGTTTCCCTAAGGGCTGGATTTCCACTGGCGCCTGAAGGCATGGGAACATTTGCTGACTGAATGATGGATCTCTGCAACAAGTGTATTCTAATTAGTGGTTTGAGGAAAACTCTCCAACACACTGATGCTCACTACTTTTCAAAAGCTCAGTTTTGGAAGATTGTCAAGACCCATGAGATTATCTATTCTTCTAATACTTTCCTCTAAATTAAGCCAGACTATCAGCATCTTGAATCTAGATCCAGCAATACTGATAACATCACCCACTAGAATTACTTCCACTGAAATGAACTTCAGGGAAGTTGTATGAAACACTCTTATGAAAGTCATCACTTTTATTACCAAGATATTACTCAGCATATAGTCTCTTCTTCAAGAGAATACCTAACAGTTTATCCTTTGCCAGTTTTGTTTTGGTTCAAATAACTAGTCTGTTTTAACTTTATGGGCATAGTGACTGTGCTTCTCTCAAGCTGCCAGGTCAGTAATCTTAAAAATCAAATTTATGCCCTGCCTGCATCAAGCGCGTGATGTTAATTTTGTGTAGTCTTGTTCTGGCCTCCATCTTATTTATTTCATTACTCTTACTTCCCATTCTCATAATTCTTCCTTACTTTTAAATGACTTCATTTTGTTCATACATTTATAACCCACCATGAATCATGAAATGACTTATAAACACACACTTTCTTTTCCTTTGGTAGCTTGTAAATTCTAACACCATTCTCTAATCACTAGGCTCTCCAACAAAAACTTATAAGTGCTTCTGGTTTATATTAACTGGAACCTTCAATTCACCTCTGTGTTTCTTTAAAATGATAATTTTTAAAAGTGCTCATATTATAGGGTTGGTTATAAATTAATATATGTGAAACACATGCACTATGCCCTGCACGTACTGTTTTGTGGGTATTAACTATTATTATCTTTACTACTCTCCAACTCATTGATTAAAATGACAACTAGCAAAAGGAATACCACTAATTCTTCTACTTTGACACTGATCCAACAACCCGATGTTTACACTGGTTCTAGACTTTGCCACACGCCTTGTTCAAATAAAGATAACAGAGCTAGGCCATTCTTCCACTGGTTAAGGTACATAAAGCTCCCATTTACATACACAAAATAGTTAAGTTTGATAAATGATGCTAATATCAATCTAAAGAATATCTTAGAACTAGAGAGGTGGCTTCATGGAAATTGGATGGCAAAGGACAAAGGGAGTTAATGAATTCAAAAAATAATGACTTAATTACCTAGTTAAATTAATCAAACTTTTTAGGAGAATGGTTTGAAATTTTAAAAATTTGGTAGTTCAAATCTATTTTTAAATCCATTAAAAATAAGACCTTGGTAAATAAAGGTAACAATTATTTTATAACAGTTGGGGATCTATAGCAAAATGCAGGATATGAAAGAATTAGGTTCAGTCTGGCTTTTCCATTTTCTGGACCTTGACTTTGGCTTACAGCTGAAGTTCTATCAACTACTAGTCATCGAAGTTTTCATTGATTTCCCATCCTCATACCCAGGATGACTTAGCCCAGCTAACTTGCTGTGCTATTTTAAGAATTAATGAAACATTAAAAAAAAATGATAGTTGCTCAGTCATGTCCAACTCTTTGCAACCCCATGGACTGTAGTCCGCCAGGTTCCTCTGTCCACGGAATTCTCCAGGCAAGAATACTGGAATGGGTAGCCATTCCCTTTTCCAGGGGATCTTCCTGACCCAGGGATTGAAACCAGGTCTCCTGCATTGCAGGCAGATTCTTTTGTGGCTCCCATCTGAGCCACCAGGGAAGCCTTGAAGATCTCAGAAAACTGTCAATTGAGATATAAATGTTATTGCCATTTAAAAAGGTTAAAATTCTCTTCAATAATCCATTTGTATTCCAATATTACACTCTATCCTCACTTTTACTTTCTAGCTTTAATATCACTTGTTTGCAAAACCTTACCTTCACAGAATAAATGCATTTTCAAGGTTTTAGGATCTTTTAAAATTTAGCTACACAGGTAGCTTTGGGTAGAAAAAGGCAAGTTTGCCACACAAATCTCAGTGACTTCACAGACAGGTTTCTAGGTAATATATACCATTATAATCAATGTAGCTGGGTGAATGTGGATCCATTTGTGATCTGGTTCCAAATCCATGTTTGTTTGTTCTGTTAAATGTTGTACTGTCAATGCATCCAAAAGTTAACATTATAATGGCAGCAGCTGCTGCTGCTAAATCACTTCAGTCGGTCCGACGCTGTGCGACCCCACAGACGGCAGCCCACCAGGCTCTGCCGTTCCTGGGATTCTCCAGGCAAGAACACTGAAGTGGGTTGTTGCCATTTCCTTCTCCAAGGCATGAAAGTGAAAAGTGAAAGTGAAGTTGCTCAGTCATGTCCGACTCTTCCCAACCCCATGGACTGCAACCTACCAGGCTCCTCCATCCATGGGATCTTCCAGGCAAGAGTAATAATGGTAGCTAGCTGACCTGTAAGTCAGACCAGTTTGTTAAAGCTTTCTTCATTAGAGTCTGCTTCCCTTGGGTCTCTTTGATTCATTTACTCTACCATTTAACCATAACTACAACTAGAGTAACGTACTCTATCAAGTGCAGAAGCCCCATTAGTGTATCAGTAGCAGAATATGTAAAATCTAACTATTCCACAAAAATTTCAGCAGCATAATGCAAACTACATTTTCTGTGCCTTTTCTTTAAGCTGTCATGTGTGGAGCGATATTTCAGGCAAAATGCAAACATTACCTCATTTAAACCATCTTTACCACCAGCGAGCAAGTGTTATCAGGACCATTTTACAAAACAAGCCTGTCCCAGCGCTACCTAGGACCCTTACAAGTCTATTCTGTTTTTCAAATTAGCCTAATTCAACCCATCTATGCCAAAAAATTACATTTACCAAAAATACCCATGTCTGCAGCTTCCTGCCTAAATTTTTACTACCTTTGAACATTTCAATAATCCTTTCATCTGAGGCTGTCAGTCTGCTTAATAGTGAAAAAGGTTTTTCCTTTTTCTGTATAAAAATAAAAAAGTCTCGAGAAAGAAAACTTTGCAAGAGAGAAAGCAGGTACAGAAGTTCAACTGCTTCTGCCCCCTCTGGCTAATGTCACAATAACAATAAAGTTTTTGAAACGTGTCCCAGTGGCAACCGGATATTCTTTCTATCTCTTGACTGTCATCCACCTTGCAAATTCACGAACTTTCTTGGTAGTTCAGGGTTCTTAAGCCAAAACTTTAAAGCCAATCTTGAGCAAACAACTTAGGTCATTTTACAGTGTTAAGATTTCCTGTCTGATTCCAAAAGTTTAGGATCACTCTTAGGGGCGGCCCCAAGGATTGGAGTTTAATGACAACCTCGGGCGTCAGGAGAAGCAGCCTATAAAGCCTCTGGAGAAGGGGCGAGTAGACGGGGGAGTGGGGATGGGGGAGAAAAAGGCGAGGTGACCAAGGTGTGAGAGACAGCTGAACCCTCGGCCAGTGTTCAGGACGAGATGCCAGGCGAACAGTTTTTCCTACTAGGCAAGGGCTAGCGGGCGACAGAGAAAGAAGCCGGGGGCAGCGACCCGAGGAGGGGCTTGAATGCTGAGCGCGGCGGAGAGGGGCACTCTGGCAGGGCGCGGGAGTAGGGAAGAGCCGGGTCGCACCTGAGCCCACGGGGCGGTTCCGGTCCAGATTGGTGGGCGAGCTCCGCTGGCGCCCCAAGCCCGGGGAGGAGGAAAAAGACGCGTCCAGGGGCAGAAGCAGCAGTTCCCGGTCGCTGGCCTGGCTAGGGGAGGCCGCACCTTCCTCCCCGGCAGCCGTCTCCAGCCTCACGGCGCCCCCCGGAGCGACCTTCCGCCGCTGGGCCCAGGCGATCCGCGGCAGCAGCGGCTCCCGCTCCTCATCCTCCTCGTCCTCCTCCAGGCTCCCGCTGCCGGGGGACTCTGGCCTCCCGGGCTCCGAGGCCTCCGCCATGGCCTCCCCCTGTGCCTTCCGCGCTGAGACCGACTCAGAGAGGCGAGGCGTTCGGGTCTGGCCTCGGCATCGCGGGGAACCGGAGCCTCTGGGTCAGGCCGAAGAAACCTTGCTGGTGCACTGTCCAGCTCGGCGCCCGCCAGGCGGTTGCCCCGCCCGCCGGCCGAGCCCCACCTCGCTCCTAGCCCGCGCCTGCGCGGAAGTGCGGGGGCGTTGTGCGGGGCCCGGCCGCCACCTGTCTCCCTAAGCTGGGGAAGGCGCCCGGCGGGGCTAAAATTACTGCTTGTGGAGCGCGGGGGTGGAAGTTAATCTACCTTCGCAGAGGTGCCTCTCTCTAACCCAAATCGGCCTCTCCCGCCCCTGCAGAATTCTCTCATGTTTCCCACAATGTATACCTGTGTATTTCTTTGTATGACTAACATATGTTTCCCCCACTAGAAGTCCCGGAGAGCCAGGGCCTCGTCATTTTTTCCAAACATTCCTGATATTGTAGTTTACATTTTCTCTTTTTAAATACCGGTTAATCTAGCTAGAAGTTTATATAAATTTTTAGTTTTTTTCAAAAAGCCATCTATGGGTCGATTGATTATCTGTTCTCTAGTTCATTGACTTTTTAATAATTTTCTTCCTTTTTCTTTTTTTAAATATATGTACCTTGTTTGAGTTTTGCTCGGTTTCTTAATTTGTAAGTTTACCAAATTTGTAAGTCTACCAAATTTGGGGAAATCTCGGCCATTATTTTTTCAAAAAATTTTCTACTCCACTGTCTTCCTTTTCTATTCCTATTAAAGGTACCTATTAAAGATGATTCCTATTAAAGGTACTTTAAGCTCTTTAATATCGTCTTAAAGATTAGTATAGCTCTGTCCACTTTTTTCAATAGTTACTATCTCTGTATTTCAGCTGGAATAATTTCTCTTAATCTGTTTTTAAGTTTGCCAACCCTTCAGCCATTTCTAATTAGCTGCTGGACCCACCCAGTGAATTTTTCATTTCAAAATTTTTACTTTTCAGTTCTAGAATTTCCATTCCCTCTTCTCCTTTTAGAATTTCTTTATGTCTGCTGAGTTTTTCTGCTAACTCATTATTATGACCATATACTTTTTCATGTCCTTGTATGTATGGTGTATCAGTTAGTTCAGTTCAGTCGTCTCTGACTCTTTGCAATCCCATGGACTGCAGCACACCAGACTTCCCTGTCTATCACCAACTCCTGGAGCTTGTTCAAACTCATGTCCACTGAGTCAGTGATGCCATCCAACCATCTTTCCCTCTGTTGTCTCCTTCTCCTCCTGCCTAATGTATAATAACTGTTTAAAATTTTTTGCTAGCCACTATGGAGAACAATATAGAGATTCCTTAAGAAACTAAGAATAGAGTTGCAGTATGATGTAGCAATCCCACTCCTGGGCATGTATCCACAGAAAACTCTAATTCAAAAAGATACATGCACCCCAATGTTCACAGCAGCACTATTTATAATAGCCAAAACATGAAAGCAGCCTAAACCTCCACTGACAGATGAAATGGTTAAAGAAGATATATATATATATACACACACATAGATACACACACACACACACACACACACACACACACACACACACACACACACATATAGAATGGAGTATTACTCAGCCATAAAAAAGAATGAAATAATGCCATTTACAGCAACACAGATGGACCAAGAATTTATCATCCTAGGTGGAGTAAGTCAGACAGAGAAAGACAAATATCATATGATATCATTTATATGTGGAATCAAAAAAATGATACAAAAAATTATTTATTAAATAGAAATAGACTAACAGAAATAGAAAACAAGCTTATTGTTGCCAAAGGGAAAATGTGAGGGAGGGATAAATTGGGAGTTTGAGATTGATATATACAACTACTAAATAGAAAATAAGCAATAAGGACTTATTGTATAACACAGGGAGTTACATTCAATATCTTATAAGAATCTATAATGGAAAAGAATCAAGGAGATATATATATATATATATATATATATATATATATATATATATAAAATCACTTTGCTGTGAACCTAAATAACACAACTTTGTAAGTCAACTATAATTTTTAAAAAGTCTTTGCTAATTCTTACATCTGAGTCATCTTGGAGTCAGTTTCTATTGACTACCTTCTCTCTAAACTATGACTCAAACTTTCCTGTTCCTTATATTTGCTAATTTTTCTATTGTGTACTAGGTATTATAGATGTATATATATGCATATTGTAGAGCCTCTAGATTCTGCTGTCCTTCCTCTAGTAGGTAGTTAATTTTTACCCTGTGCACATAGAGTTTAGGAGTCAACCAAGGATTTTGGCAGAGTGTATGTGTCAGCTTTGGAGTTCTTTTCCTCTACTACTCTTTCCTTTTCAGGAATTTCATCTTCAATTTCCAGCTGCTCTGGAAGCCCCAGGCTCCATTCTGTAATTCCTTAAGCCATTAATATTGTAGTTTTCTGAGTTACAGCTGCTTTTCACAGTGCAGACTGAGCAATGCCCTCAGATAAAAAGATGTGTGAGCATAAAATCACACTCATTATATTTCAATTCTTTGAACAGTGGCCATCCCTTAAAATTCCACCTGCCTGCTTTGGGTTACTTTTCAGCATCTTCAAATAATTGCTTTTATATTTTATCCAAAGTTTATGACTTTATCTGTAAAAGGCTTAGTCTGATATAACTTCCTATGAGATATTTTTACAGAACTGTATCTTTTAGTGAGGTGAATGGCGCTGGTGCTATTTTTTTTTGTCCGTAGTTCACGTTAGTGGGCTTTCCTGGTGGCTCAGATGGTAAATAATCTGCCTACAATTCAGGAGACCCAGGTTTGATCCCTGGGTTGCAAAGATCCTCTGGAGGAGGAAATGGCAACCCACTCCAGTATTCTTGCCACCGAGATAATCCCATGGACAAAGGAGCCTGGCAGGCTATAGGCCATGGGGTCACAAAGAGTCGGACACAACTGAAGTGACTGAACTCACATGCACACGTTAGTAGAGGAATACTACTTACTGCTAGATAAGACAGGATTCAGCATCAATTCTATTCATAGATATGAACACTGAGAAAATACATTCAAATAAATAGATGATTATGGTGAATGCTTTGAAATAGCAATGTCACTCAAATTTTTGATCTTTCAAGATATATGCTAAAAGTCAAATAGCACTCTATCATCAAAAATTATTTTTTATTATCTATCATCAAGCAATTCATTTAGGTCCTCTTTTGTTTAAGCTATTCACTTTCTTTCACGCAAAGAGTCGGACATGACTGAGCGACTGAACTGAACTGAATTCACTCTTTTGGCTATTTAATTTCTGGCAAGTATACCAAAAAGGCTTTTAAAAGACTTATCAGTTATTAATAATTGTTCTGTAACTCTTTCAAGACACTATTTTTTTAACTGAGTTGAGAAAATAAAAATATTAACGTATCTATAGAATTTTGGCAATATAGTACTATTTGTTAAAATACTTTTATCTTATCATGAGTTTTAAGTATATTTTTGCCAAAACTTTAGGACTACAGATTTGGTTTATTCAATGTATGCAAAAAAAGGTCTAACTTAAAAGTTAATTGGTAAAGCCAATATCCACTATCAAATCAGTCAGCCAAAGCAAGTATTTTTTTTCAATCCATTATAGCTCAGTTGGTAAAGAATCTGCCTGCAATGCAGGAGACCCTGGTTTGATTCCTGGTTCGGGAAGATCCACTGGAGAAAGGATAGGCTACCCACTCCGGTATTCTTGGGCTTCCTTTGTGGCTCAGCTGATAAAGAATCTGCCTGCAATGTGGGAGACCTGGGTTCGATCCCTGGGTTGGGAAGATCCCCTGGAGAAGGGAAAGGCTACCCACTTCAGTATTCTGGTCTGGAGAATTCCATGGACTGTATAGTCCTTGGGGTCACAAAGAGTCGGACACGACTGAGTGACTTTCACAACAACAAATACAGTAAGCCCTGTAGGAGGGCGTGGCAACCTACTCCAGTATTCTTGCTGGAGAATCCCATGAACACAGGAGCCTGGCGGGCTACAGTCCACAGGGTTGCAAAGAGTCAAACATGACTGAAGCAACTTAGCACCAGCACACAAGCATGGTAAAATATATCCCTGTGTCAGCATCTCAGTTTTAAAATTCTAAGGCTCTGCTGTCTCTAGTATTTCTCACAGATATTTCTTTAACTTTGTTCCCACGGAACATTTCTTTAGGAGTCCATTCTTCAATAGTAGTCAGGGTTTAGAAGATGCAAGATCTTTATTTTTTTCTAATTTGAATCGAAGGCTAATTACTTTACAATATTGTGGTGGTTTTTGCCATGCATTCACATGAATCAGCCATGGGTGTACATGTGTTCCCCATCCTGAACCCCCTCCCACCTCCCTCCCCATCCCATCTCTCTGGGTCATCCCAGTGCACCAGCCCTGAGCACCCTGTCTCATGCATTGAATCTGGACTGGCGACCTATTTCACATATGATAATATACATGTTTCAATGCTATTCCCTCAAATCATCCCACCCTCGCCTTCTCCCAGAGTCCAAAAGTCTGTTCTTTATATCTGTGTCTCTTTTGCTGTCTCGAATATAGGGTCATCGTTACCATCTTTCTAAATTCCATATATCTGTGTTAATATACTGTATTGGTGTTTTGAAGATGCAAGGTCTTTAAATGAAACTTGGCATCACTCTTGCAATCTAACTGTACAATACCTATATATTCAGAACATCCTAACACAGGACTAAATGCACCATGTCCAATGTCACCATCACCTTTAATGCTCCTTTAATAAGAAAAGACATGAAGCATTGTTGCTACTTCATGGGGCATTCATTAATCAAGGCTTTACCAACATCTGTATTTCAAAATCCAATCTTCGTTGTGAGTCTCAGGTTTTTTACACCCCAGCACGAGGAAGCACTGGAAGATTCAGGATAGGTATTCCAGCACCAACTGGAATTCAATTCTGCTACTAACCACACAGA